ATAAATGGTATATATGTGCACACTGGAGGAAACCAGGAAGACGACACAGAACTAGAGGAAATCAGGGAAAAACATACAACAGCGGGACCCATCAGCTGCACTGGACATGGATCAAAATGAACTAGGCAACCCAATGGCAGCGATGGGAGGGAGGGAATGAGTGGGACGCTATGCAAAACAAATGTACGTATCACCCAATGTGGAAGAAATAACTGTATCGCAAAGCTCAGAGAACTCATAGATGTTATAGACCAAGGTAGACAATTTGCCCCATGAAAGTTAGAATGTGTTTGTGACTTTAACTGAGCATTACTATCCCACAATATTGGGAAATTTGGGAAATTATGCAATCACTTAATCACAATAAAGAATTTGAAAAAAAAAAGTCCATGAGTGGGAAACGGAAATGGTGAACAGTGGCTTGGGGCCAGGGTATGGAAGGAGCGAGGCTAACAAGGCCCTTCTGAGCGCGGTCCAGGGGGACGCTTCTCCTAAGCCACAGGGATGGTTGTAAGAAAGCACCTTTTGCTCCTCCTTCGTGAGCCCTGGGTACCCGCTTCTGACAGCACATAGTTCTGTTTCTGGAAGACAGAAGGCGGGAACTGGAGCTTATTTGACCTTTCTCAGATTCCTGATCTTATCAGCTGTTGGGAAGGGCTGGGCTAGCAAAAAAAAAGTCACAAATTTATTCTGCACAGGGTGACAGGCTGAAAGATGCTACATCTACCTTCCTGTGAGAACAGGAGCACAGGTTCTGTGTGGAGCCCAAGGGAAGAGAAAACCTCTCCCAGTTCATCTTCCATTCCTCCAATGGAGTCACCATGTAACCCAGTGCTCAGAGGCTGTTGGAGAAAGATGGTTTATTTCTATATATGGCCAGAAAATAGTCCAATTGCAGGGCTGGCTTCCTGGTGGACATGCTCCAGATTTTCCAGACCTGCAGACTCCAGAGATGAACAGCCTGGACATTGGCTTCTGTGGTCTGCTTATAATTAGGTCCAGCAACAGAAAATTTGGCTCCCAGTTTTCTGGCCCCTAAGTCCCCCTCTACCCAACCCCTCCACCCTTGTGTCTGCTCCCTTGGAATGCTGCAGTGAAAAGCAAAGAATGAAGCTCTCACAGCTGCAGCCTTGCTAAAAATAGCAAGTTTGTTTATTTTCGTGTTCATGAAGCCCTTTTCCTGCTGCTGCTGTTGTTATGAGTGGAGCTCCCAGACAGGAAGGGGAAAGACTAACTGCACTGGTCTCTGGCCAAGAAAATTCTAGACTATGTGTGTGTGAAGCAGGAGGGGAGAGGACAAATTCAGCCCAGGAGGAGGCAGAGAATGAGGCGATCTGCTTTCCCTTTGAGCTGACACCTTAGCAGACACCTGCTCTCTAGCATTGGTGTGGGGATGGGGTGTTTCTTGTTTTTGGTCCATCTGCTTGAATGAACTTCCCTTTCAGATACAGCCTTTCCTTTGTTATGATCTCATAGCAGATGTGCGGTCAGGGGAAAGGCCAATGAGCTAAGAGGCAAGAAACCTCTTGTCTTTTTTTTCTGGTATCTTTCTTTGTGGCCCTGAGCAAATCACCTCCCCATCTCAAACACCCTCTTCCTCGTGTATGTAGTAGATAGACCAGTAGATGTGTAGGAGTCATTTGAAATTACTGAGAATGAAGCAACTGGAAAAAGTTCAAGATACCTGCAAATGGATTTTACACTTAGGTTTCTCAAGTGCGTTGAGCAGATCAATATTTGCTTTTCCCCAAAGGGGCTCTCGAGTCTCCTTCTCCTTAAAAGAAGGGAGTGGAGGAGTAGCTGGGAAGGCATTTTCTGATCACGTGCCCTCCAAATTTATGGTGAGCTGGTGTAGGCTAGAATAAAGAATCCTGAATTAGGCTTTGGGGAGTTGAGGAAGGGAAATATTTACCATTTGGTTGGCTTGCTGTGGGCTTTGGAAGAAAAGGGATATTGTCATATATATTATCTCCCATTAATGAAGTCCCATTACTAATAGCTAATTGTCCCAGCTGGTATAGATCTCCACTTGCTCAGTTATGAAGTTCATACCACATACAGGGCTGGTCATATGTTTTCCACTGAACATCCTCCGTGGTTGTTGTTGATATTTTCTCCTCTAAGATCCTGACGACGTGGGACTGTGTTCGAACCACTGTGACAATAGGGTTTACTTTTTTTTTTTTTATGAGAACGATGGCTGGCCCTTGTACCTGGTTTATATCAGGGACCTGTATCTGACAGAGTTCTGGGTGCTAGATCATAAACTTTCAGTTTTGGTTGATATTTTAGAAAAACAACTTGTTTAAATTAGGGCTCTTGACATGTTTTTTCTTACTTAAACTGCAACGGGTGGATGCTTTTTCCCCCCTTAATAGTCTTTGACTATATTTTACATTTCCTTAAACTGGCTGTGATTTTAAAAGTCTTTGGAAATTGTAGAGACTTCTGAGACTCACTGATCTCTTCCTCAGATCTATAGGTCTGTCCTTATAGACTT